GTGAATCCGTGCTGGTTGGCATTTATACTCCTGTTCCGTTCCAGGTGCTCCACCACTCTCCTCCTGATAATCTTCTCCATAATTTTGCATACTATACACGTCAATGACACAGGTCTATAGTTTAGTGCCTCTTTTCTGTCTCCTTTTTTGAAAATGGGAAACTACATTTGCTGTCTTCCATACCTCAGGTAGTTGCCCAGTTTCCAGGGATGTGTTGAAGATTGTGGTAAGTGGTACACACAACATATCTGCTCCCTCTCTAAGGACCCATGGAGAGATGTTGTCCGGTCCCATTGCCTTTGAGGTATCGATGTCCCTTAGCAGTTTCTTTACCTCCTCCTCATCTGTATGTATGTCGTCCAACACTTGTTGGTGTATTCCTTGTTGGTGTCCCCATCTGGTCTGTCCCCCAGAGTCCTTCCTGTCTCTACTGTAAATACTTCCTTAAATTCGTGTTGAGCTCCTCACATACCCTTCTTGATCGTTTCTTGTGAGTTCCCCACCTTCTTTCCTCAGCCTTATCACCTGGTCCTTGACTGTTGTCTTCTTCCTAATGTGGCTATACAGCAGTTTCGGGTCAGATTTGACTTTCGATGCTATGTCGTTTTCATACTGTCTCTGGGCCTCCCTCCTTATCTGTGCATACTCGTTTCTGGCTCTTCTACTAATCTCCTTGTTTTCCTGGGTCCTATGCCTCCTGTACCTTTTCCATTCTCTGTTGCACTTAGCTTTTTGCCTCCCTACACCTTCGGGTAAACCAAGGACTCGTCTTGGTCTTCCTATTATTTCTGTTTCCCTTGGGAACAAAACTTTCCTCTGCCTCCTTGCACTTTGTTGCCACATATTCCATCATCTCGTTTACTGATTTTCCTACCATTTCTCTGTCCCACTGAACCTCCTGCAGGAAGTTTCTCATACCTGTGTAGTCCCCCCTTTTGTAGTTTGGCCTGTCCCCTTCAGTTCCTGTTCCCTTCTCCACTTGTAACTCTACTATATAGTCAAAACACAGAACCACATGATCGCTAGCTCCAAGGGGCCTCTCGTAAGTGATGTCCTCGATGTCTGAACTGCTCAGGGTGAACACAAGATCCAGTCTTGCTGGCTCATCCTCCCCTCTCTCTCTGGTTGTGTCCCTGACATGTTGATGCATGAGGTTTTTCAAGTACCACATCCATCATCTTTGCTCTCCATGTTTCGGGACCCCCATGTGGGCTCCAGGTTTTCCAGTCGATTCTCCCTGTGGTTGAAATCGCCCATTACCAGTAGCTTTGCTCTGCTCGAGTGAGCTCTTCTTGCCACCTCAGCCCAGTGTGTCCACCATCACCCTGTTGTTTTCTTCGTACTCCTCTCTTGGCCTCCTGCAGTTCTGTGGTGGGTTATACATCACTCCAATGACTACTTTATGTTCTCCGGACTGAATTGTACCTACAATGTAGTCTCTTTCTCCAATCATGTCCATGCCTTCCATTTCCTCAAATCCCCATTGGTGTTTTATGAGCAGTGCAACCCCCTCCTCCCCCTCTACTCCTTCTATCTTTCCTCAGGATCTGATATCCTGTTGGGAAGATTGTGTCTGTTATTATCTCAGCGAGTTTTGTTTCTGTGACTGCTATGATGTCTGGGGATTTTTCACTGATTCTTTCATTCCACTCCTCATGTTTATTCATTATTCCATCCGCATTTGTGTACCAAACCTTTAGTTTCTTTTCTATCATTGTGGTCATGCAAGTGTATTGGGGTTGGGGGAGGGAGAGCCTTGGTGGGGGCCTATATGGGGCTGTGGTGTAGGTGGGGTATGTGCTGATGGGGGTGGGGTCAGAATGCCCATAAGGGACAGCTGTTGGGGTGAGGTTTGTGATAAGGGGGTTGGTGGCAGAGGGAACAGTGAGTGGGTTGGAGTATAGGTTGCTCAGTTGCGTTGGGAATGTCGCGGGTGGGGTCTTTTGGTGTGTGTGTGTGTGTGTGTGTGTGTGTGTGTGTGTGTGTGTGTGTGTGTGTGTGTGTGTGTGTGTGTGTTTGTCAATAACATGAGAGGTTTGTGAACAACATAATGGTCACTCAAGAAAATGTTTATTAATGAGTAGAAGTATAAGATAAATATGGTGTTGCAGGTGTGTGGACCACCTTCACTAGTAGACACTTCCTTTACTTTCTCTTGCCAAATCGGTCACAGTATTTTTTGACCTTATCGTCCAGTTATTTATCCTTTCTGTATGGTTATTATTATTATTATAGTAATTATTATTATAATAGTAATTATAATTATTTTAATAGTAATTATTATTATAATAGTGATTATTATTATTATTATTATTATTATTATTATTAATTATTCATGGGGGAGCTGTACATCCACATAGGTCATGTAGCACCCATGGTATGAGAGACAGCTTGGTTTGATCCAAGGAAAGGAAGGGTAGCTCCAACTCTGTGTATCAAGAGCCTTTGACTAGCATCAAAACACTCCTTCCTGAAGAGCATTACTCTATTTCTAATAAGGACTTCATCTTTTTTTTTTTTTTTTTGTTTTTGTTTTAGTTAGCCTTTCGGTGTAGGTGTTTAGACCAGAGCCAGGAATGTGTTAGGAACATGTATGTGACATGATATATACCTGTAGGTTACCTGTAGCTGAATCCTACAATGGACACTCTTTCCCTATGGCCCGGTCCTAGACCATGCCTTGTGTTGGATGGTCTGACCCATTAGGCTGTTTAGGGGGGTGTTACTGAATGCAGTCCAGAGTGTGCAACATGGCTTGGCTCATTATCATTACTGATGGTATGAAATGCCATCAGTAATAATCAGTATATCAGTACAGATTATCCTGGGTGGCTAACCTTCCCTGGGTTAAAAATCCCAACAAAATCTTGTCTTGCATCAATAATTGATGTCAATAATTAATCCATCAGTACAGACAGTCCTCATTGACACTGACTTTCTCAGTTTATCCTGGGTGGCTAAGCATCCTGGTTAAAAATCCCAACAAAAATCTTACCTTGCATCAATAATTATATAATTGATGTATACCATCAATAATGATACTTATCTGACACTGCATCAGCTAGGTTGATTAAGAACTTCCCCCCAGCAACTAGTCTGGTACCATCTGGTAGTCAGGAAAGAGATAAAAGCATTTTATATACAAAAACACCTTGTTTTAAGTACAGTAGTTACTACTACCTGCAATTACCTGAAAATTTAAAATCATAAAACTGGTCTTGCAAGCAAGTGAATGAAAGTTTGAGGCAAGTGAAGAGTTAATTTAAATGCTTAAATACTAGGTCAGGATAAGATGGAGAAATTTAGAAGGTAAAAATATTAAAAAATGGTGAATTGCAAGAAAGTGAACTCTTTTGTAGTATTGAAATTTGAATTGTAGTGTATATCTTTATATGTAGAGTAGTAAATACATGTATATCTTTTTATATATAGCATATGTACAGTATATGTATGTATATCTTACATATATATATATCTGTTTATTTATTTTCAACACAGCCATGGGGATGGTAGACACGAAGCCCGAGGCCTTTCCGACTATTCATAGTTCATCAGGAGCTTGCAATAGGAGGCAGAAAAATGTGGTCAACAGCAGCTTACTGTCACAAAAGCAGCAACCATTAAGCTGCTGACAGATTCCAATAGTTTTTTACCTCATTTCTCCACTCCCTCTTATTACAAGCTCCAAATGAGTATCAGTAGTCCAAAAGGCGTTGAGCTTCATTTCCAGTTCCATGGCTGTGTTGCTCATGTTTATTTATAGATTCTTTACAAATGCTTAAGCCTTTCTAGTATTCCTTATTATAAAGCGTAGTCTGTACTAGTGAAGTATTGCTCTAAGTATGTGAATCACCAGTGTGTTCTTATGATTTCCAGTCCGTCAGGGAACCCAATGTAAGTAACTGTATTGTTGCCAGCCAATGTTAACTTGCAAGATAGTGGAATAATGTTAACTTGTAACATAGATGAATAATGTTAACTTATAGTGGAATAATGTTAATTTATCGCATAGTGGAATACTGTTAACTTTTTAAATAATGGAATAATGTTAACTTGTCACATAGTGGAATAATGTTAACTTGTCACATAGTGGAATAATGTTAACTTGTCACATAGTGGAATAATGTTAACTTGTCAAATAGTGCAATAATGTTAACTTATTACATAGTGGAATAATAAGAAGTTTAACATAGACTGGTTAGAGGATCCTTTCTTGGCTGGCGTTGACTGGTAGCTTCCGCACGTTACCTGAGCTTGGAGGTGTTGCTAGTCCCATAACACATAGTTGAGGCTTTTGTTCACTGTGATGCTCTCATCTCCTTGGATAACAATTTTCATCAGTGTACAGGGCATCCCTAACTTACGAATACCCTGAGTTACAAACATCTACAATTACCAACGAGGCTTTTAGGAACCAGTTAAATTTTTCTACTCGCCAATACCAGTGGGACTTCCAGAAAGTTATTAAATTATCCGATTCGCCACTTCACAGCGACCCACAGTTATGAACACATTTGAATGTGAAATGTCAAATTAAATTTTTACGATTGCCAGTCAGTGGTTACATACACATGAAACATAACCACTCTTTGTAGTATTGGTATAAAGAGGAAAATAGGTCCTGAGTTACATACTCCTTGTTTGTAAACAGGAGCACCAGGAGCACAACTGGTTCATAAGTTTGGGACTCCCTGTACTGCTAACTGATATGTCTAGCAGATCGTCTGGTGCATCTCCAGTGCACTTCAGCAGCCACTTTATTCTTAAACATTATTTGTTGAATTTTTATCTGACTTTTGTTGACAAAGCAGTTTTGCTTTAAATGAGAATAAACAAAGAGGACACGTATTTTGAATTTTTTTTTTTATATGTTCTGTGTGAATTAAATGAACTTCCTGAATATACGTAAATCCAGTATACATAGCTAACTGTGATTTGTTCTGTTCCCTTGGTGATGTGAGGTAACTAGCTTAGCACTGGACTAAAAATGCACAGTTTGATAAAAATTCATCATCAACAAACTAAAAGATCGTCAGTTTGCACTGAGCAAAAATTAGCGTTCTGGGGTAATTATTAGCTTTATAATTAGTACATTTCCTTAGGGAAATATCCAGGAGAATATCTAAATTTTTGGTTTTAAATAGGGTACAGTAATATAACAAAGCTAAACAGACACTACGCATCAAGGATGAAAGTTCATGATGTACACTGTATTAATGTTATTAGAATTACCGACAATTTGTTAAGTAAAAGGACACAAGTTCAACTAATGCCACAATAAAATGCCACATTAGTTGCACTTGTGCTCTTGCACTTAATGTGATGTACACTGTAGGCCTCCTACGTTCTTATGCTGTACATGCGTTCCAAGCCCATCATAGTTCTTTCAGGTCATAAACATATAATTCGTCATGATTAGAATCTTTATCATGTTTCTGCGAATTGTACAGATGGCTTAGAGTGAATGTATGTTGCAGATACAATACCAGTAGAAATAGGGCCTCATATAATAACAAATTTGCATAAAGCAAAGGAAGTTATATACTGTACAGTAGTAACAAGGGATTAATAAATGTCCAGTATCTTCCTTTTCTTGTGTTTCTTATTATAAATTTGATTTTAACGCTACAAATAAAAATATTGACAAAAGAGTATCTTGTTCAAATGTCACCTTTCTTGCCTTCATACAGTACATGGAGGACTCGACTGCAAGGCTTGATGGAACGTGTATTGATATCCAGAATGCAATTATTGCGCTGTTATTGCCTTATTAACCTTAAGTTAATCTTAAGTTTGCCTGAAATGCTCTGCATATAAAGGGGCTTTTGACATGTACACCCGGTTGTTATACTCCTTTATACAAACATGTAACATGCTAAAATTAAAATGATTATTATTGTTATTATTATCAGCAGGCAGATATATTTGAACAAGAAAAGTGGTGCATAAAGCCAGAGAAGGCACTAATTACAATGAATTCACAGTCATTTATTATTGTAGATTATCCCTACGGTCACATGTTCACTTCTTTTATAAAATATTCACTGCACAATTGACTTGAGCAAATTTGTTGCATGAATTTTTATGCCACATTTCATTAATAACCTCACCTATAAATGCAGTTTACTATACTCACCCTATATCAGTGAATTTTGCATTCATACATTTAATAACTGTGAATTATGTATTGGTACTGATGCCCACTACCCACAGCCGGGTTCAGAGTCTTCAACTCTTGTATGATACTCTAGCATTACCTGTGAGCTTGGCTCCTGGGACCACATTGAAACACAAGCTTCAAATACTGGCTTCACAGTCTGTGTTGACACATCTTTCCTGAATGTGAAGAGAGTACTGTGCTGTTTGTACAACCGTATAGTATTTGCGATTTCCCTCACTTTATGTGATAGATGTATTCCAGGCCCATAACTCATATTGTAATGTCCAAATGAATTTCCAAGCACCATTTAAATTAGGGAACTTTTCTTATGTTTTGTAAACTACAGACTTAACATAAGAGCAAATTTGTCACAAATAGGGATTAACTATAATGAGAATAATAATAGTAGCAATAGAAATTGGGTCATTGCATACAGCGAACCTGTGAAAAGCCGAGAATTACACATAATAGTGTATGTGTCGTACAGTAACTTTGCTGATCAAATTGCATTCTCTTAAAGATATAAATATTATTTTAGCACAGTTTGACTCCGTTATTCTACCTTCTGGGAGAACTGGACTGGCTGACTCTGGTCACACACCTCACAAGTATAGGATGTAATATCATTCACACAAATTATTTACATATATACATATGCAGTAAGATCACAGTAAACAAGTGATATCACAATATGTAAAATAACCACAGTGAAAAAAATAGTGAAATTCCAAGCACTTTTGTGATTTCTCACATTATCAAGGAATAGTGACTATATCTTGATAATATGAGAAATCACGAAAGCACTTGGAATTTCACTATTTTTTCACTGTGGATATTTTTGTATATATACATTTTATTTTTTTATTTTTTTTATTATCACACTGGCCGATTCCCACCAAGGCAGGGTGGCCCGAAAAAGAAAAACTTTCACCATCATTCACTCCATCACTGTCTTGCCAGAAGGGTGCTTTACACTACAGTTTTTAAACTGCAACATTAACACCCCTCCTTCAGAGTGCAGGCACTGTACTTCCCATCTCCAGGACTCAAGTCCGGCCTGCCGGACTAGAAAACAAAATTGGCTATATACATAAATAACCTACACATAGGAGAGAGAAACTTACGATGGCATATCGGTTCAACTTGGACCATTTATGAAGCCACACTGTGACTTTGTAAGTGGTCCAAGTCAGATCGAAACGTCGTTGTAAGTTTCTCTTTCCTACATACGGGTTATTTGTGCATTGTTCCGGTCATGGTATTGTACCTTTTTGTCTACATTTTCATTGGAAGGATATACAGTAACTTTTTGGACTTGGATCGGCATACAGTCTTAATGTTGTTAGTTTTTGATGTGTACAAGTCCAGTCTTACAAAACTGTATCTCACACTTGTGTTGTCTGCACAACCCCTGTTACTGCATCAAGAGTGACAAGAATTACATAAATTGGTAACATACTCTTTAATGCTCCTCTTATTGAAACTTCTTTGCTTTTGCTTTCAAGTCAAAATCTGTTTGTTAAATGCAATGGTGCTGTAATTTTTTTATATATCCAGAGTTAATAAGACATCGTGCTAAAAACACATGATAAACATCAATATTTTTAGGTTAATTAAAACCTTTTGTGTGAAGTATATTGTTTTTGAAGTTGTTTTGTATAAAGTTTTGAAGAAACATTGTAAATGTTTGATAATGGCCGTGGCAGGGTACGATGCTATGGGCCGGGTATAGAGTCTTCGGGACCAGTGGTCGGGGCACCCACGAACTTCACCATCGAGACTTTTAGTGCTGGAAAGGGAAAAGTTGAAGCCTTCTTACAAACGCCAGATGGTCACGTTGAAACTGTAAGTACAAATGCGATTTTATATTGTCACACATTATTGATTGCTGAACATTATAATGAACAAATGTAAACAATTCAATGGAGTGATTGGAATTTGACCCCATGCTCTGGTGGTCCTGAAACTGACAGTCTATTACATTATACTACTACAGTACTGTAGTGGGCTTATAATTTAATACCTTTCAAACTGCAGGTTCAAATTCCAATCGCTTTATCAAAATATATTACTACAGTATTCATATAAGCTTGTTCTATGTTTAATGTTAACTCTCATTGTTAAAATTTCAGTTATATATATACATGTATTTACTCCAATGATATTTTTGAAAGTGCCTGATAGCTATATTGAAAATGTGAGTAGTACTAATGCAATTTTTATAATACAATACTGCATACACCATTATGCTTTATATGAGGTGACTAAAATACCGGGAGCAAGGAGCTAGAAATCCCTTCTCCTGTATGAATTACTAAATTTAAGAAGAAAGACTTTTGTTTTTCTTTTTGGGTTACCCTGCCTCGGTGGGATAGAGCCGGTTCATTGAATATTTTCTATAATGATGTTTGTCTTGCATGAGCAGTATTATGTGTTGTTAATGGAGATAAATGGTATAAAATATCGACATGATGGAAAATTAGACACAGATTCTGTATACATGTAATTTGTTCCTTTATTGACTTTGTTTCACCCACACAGCTGGCTTTATCAAGTCACAAACAGATCTACCTGGGTAAGGGGTACATGAGTATATATATAGTGTGGAGAGTCAGGTAGAGAATGTTAGGTAGGTTGTACTGAGACTGACCTGCATGGGATATGCAAATTCATCCCAAATCCAACCTACCTAACATTCTCCACCTGACTCTCCACACTATATAGTATACTCATGTACTCCTTTCCTAGGCCGATCTATCTGTGATGTGATAAAGCCCACTGTGTGGGTGAAACATAGTCAATAAAGGATGGCATTTTACTGCATTTGTGTCTATTTTTTCCATGTATTGTTAATGTTGAGCTGATATTTTTCAATACTTTGGCAGCTGGAGTGTAAGTTCAACAATGACAGGAACTTAACTTACACCTGCAAGTACACACCTAAGTGTGAGGGCGACTTTGTTGTCATTGTCAAGTAAGTTTCTCTTTTGTCAATAATGTGCCATGTGTGATTTAGTAATTGTAAAAAAAAAAATTGTGAAATTTTACATGCTCTCCATTTTAGCATATGTTGCAGTATTTATATAATGCCAGATATCAGTCTTAACAGCAATCTTCACAATTTGTTTGATTGATTCTTTAATATATATACTGTATTTAGATAATTTAAATTAAGGTATTATAAATTCTTCTATTATTACATTGGTTAGATTTCTATAGAATTTATTAGAAACTATAAATACGACCAAAGTGCTGTACAGTATTTTTGTGCCAATTATCTAGAATAATTACCAAATTAAGTGTGTTGTGAGGCTACAGTGCTGTGATATTTTGTTGAGTTTCTTATATTTTTCAGCTTAACTGCTTTTCTTTTTCCACAGTTACTATTTATCAACTGTTTCAGGTTTAGTGGACGAGAGATCCCCAAATCACCATTCCGGGTCAATGTGTCTGGGTTTGCAGGTGACCCCACTAAGGTCACAGCCTCAGGTCCAGGTCTGGAACCTGAGGGAGTCACCATCAACAGACCAACATATTTTGATATATTTACTAAGGGTGAGTTGGGTGATGCTGAAGAATTTCAATATTACTTCATTTCTTGCTGTCGGCTTGTTGATGGCTTCTTATATATCAGTTTTTTAAATTAAAGAAATTTGCGTGAATTTGTTCATTGCTCAGTTGAATCGTTGCTCTAGTGTTTCGCTATTATCATCGAATATTTTACATCCTTATTCACAGAGGTGCAGTCAGTCTGAGGAAATACAGTAGGCATATTTCATATACATGTACACCCTTCCCACATCTTGGAAGGGTTGCTTTTTTCTGCATAACGTCACCTCTCTTATAAAGCTCTTCTGTATAGTGCAATTGTTCATAAATGTGATTAAAAAGAGGGCATCAAAAATTTAATAGTATGAACCATGAAGGCCTTTCCACAAGCTTTTCAATTTTGGGTGTATTTTTTTCAGTTGCATTTATGAAAAATTGCACTATATTGAGGATTTTTAAAAAGGGGGGTTGCTTATTATAACCTTTGTGATGAAGAAGGATTACTTGTTTTTCCTCCAACTTGTGATAACAGAAGGATTTTTTTTGTCCCCATACATTGTGACTAACAGAAGGATTTTTTTGTTTTTCCCCCATCATTGTGACTAACGTGGGATTACTTGTTGTCCTTCATACATTGGGAAACAGAAGGATTCTTGTTGTCCTCCATACATTGTGATAAAGAAGGGATTATTTTGTTGTCCTTCATACATTGGGCAACAGAAGGATTACTTTTTTTGTCCTCCATACATTGTGACAAACAAAGGTTACTTGTTGTCCCCCATACTTGTGACTAACAGAAGGATTATTTTGCCCTTTCATAAATTGTGGCTAACAGAAGGATTACTTTTTGTTTTCCATACTTGTGGCTAACAGAAGGATTATTGTTGTCCTCCTACATTTGTTTTTAAAGTTACCTTCTGGAGTATAAACATGGTAATAAAAACAGTTAACAACTGACCTACAATTTGAGATCATTATATGTTACGAGGATGCAGTTGTTGACAGATACTGAAAACGGGCAGTAAAGGGTGACCCAAGGGATCATTAGGCGTTCACTTACTTTTGTGCACCCCCCATCTTCTTTTATCAAGGGGAATAAAATCACAAAAAAGCCGGGAAAAATTTCCCAAATAACCGCAGTAGGGAGGGAGTTTTTTGATGGCTTTCAGCCCATCCTGCCCACGTAAAGTTCCAACTGTTGTGACTTGGAGTGGTTCAGGAAAAGAAAAGTTGTGTACAGATTTTAAAAACCCTGAGGGTTGTCACCCAGGAAACCCAAAAAAAAGTCATTGGTCATTGAGGAATTTTCTTATTTCCCTTTTTGGGGTCCTTTTAATATGTACCTCAGGATGTGCCCCCCAAAATATCTCACACTTTCCCTTCCTGAGTGTGGGATCATGAAATTTTTTTCTATCATATATAAGGTACTAAACCCCTAAAAAATCAACAACAGTTTGTTTTGGCAGCAGTAAAAAATCTTGGTGAGGGCAGTTTTTCATCTTTTCAAAGTTATTTTTGTTACACATGAAAAAATCCTCTTTCGCTATAAAAAAAAGTAAAAGTAAAAATCACTCTGTTGCTGTAAGCTTGGGGGGATTCACTCTAGCCATCTGCCCCCGGGCATCTGCTTAGTAAGTGAAAAAAGGGTACAAAAAAATAATGAAAATTTTGAGACTAAACCAAAACCCTTATGGTTTAAAGCACTACTTTGCGTAAGGAACTGAAACCATCTTAAAATTCATTCATAACTTTTAGAGAAAGTTTTTAGTTTGGGAAGGGATGTGTAATACTTTTTTTTTTTATCTTGAGAATATGTTGGGTTTTGTTAAAGCTGTTCTGTTGTGTACAAAGAAAAAAAAGAAATACTATGACTAGTTTAAAAGTCCAAGTTAGTTTCTTTTCCTAGTGTGGGTTTTTTGTGTTTGTGTTGAACTGAGTGGAGTGACTGAGCAGCATGTTGTCTCTTATCAGCAAAACCTTCCCTTGTATTAAAGGGCATAAAAGATAAATTTACAGCCAAAGGGTCTTGCAAAAGAGGAAAAAATATATTTTTTTCTTTAGTTAGCATACTAAGCAGTATGTAAGGGGAAACTTATCATTTTCGAGTGGAAAAAAATTTTACATAAAACAACATTCATTTTGAATATGTTTTAATTTCTTGTCTTAATTTACTATTTAATCATTATATTATAGTAGTGATAGTCTAGCAGTTATTATTCTCACCATGGATAATGTAAATAATCCTATATGAAGTAGTGGATGGGTGGAGAGTGGTAAACCATTGGGAGAGAATAATGACACATGTAAAGGAGATCTGTATATTTTGGTCTCAGACAGAGACTCTCTGACTGAGAGAGATCTTTGACTGATATAATCTCTGACTGAGAGAGGTCTTTGACTGATAGGATCTCTGACTGAGAGAAGTCTTTGACTGAGAGAGTCTCAGACTGAGAGAGGTCTTTGACTGAGAGAGTCTCAGACTGAGAGAGGTCTTTGACTGAGAGAGTCTCAGACTGAGAGAGGTCTTTGACTGAGAGAGTCTCAGACTGAGAGAGGTCTTTGACTGAGAGAGTCTCAGACTGAGAGAGGTCTTTGACTGAGAGAGTCTCAGACTGAGAGAGGTCTTTGACTGAGAGAGTCTCAGATTGAGAGAGTTCTTTGACTGAAAGAATCTCTGACTGAGTGGGTCTTTGAGGCTGTAATATACCAGTTTCTTTACATGGGTTTCATTTATCTGTCCAAGAGTTTTCTCACTGCTCATCCATCATTGTTTAATACTAGTTGATGGATATTTAACAATACTGTACATTGTACTGTTCCTTATTAGTGGAGTAGTTAATGTTATAGAGTAGAACCCCCATATCTGAGGATTCGGTTTCCGTGGTTGCAGTTATCCATGGTTTACCATGGCGCGAAAATAAATTTTGCTTAATAATGTCATCATTTGCTGATGACACTGTGCTCTTGGGAGATTCTGAAGAGAAGTTGCAGAAATTGGTGGATGAATTTGGTAGGGTGTGCAAAAGAAGAAAATTAAAGGTGAATACAGGAAAGAGTAAGGTTATGAGGATAACAAAAAGATTAGGTGATGAAAGATTGAATATCAGATTGGAGGGAGAGAGTATGGAGGAGGTGAACGTATTCAGATATTTGGGAGTGGACGTGTCAGCGGATGGGTCTATGAAAGATGAGGTGAATCATAGAATTGATGAGGGAAAAAGAGTGAGTGGTGCACTTAGGAGTCTGTGGAGACAAAGAACTTTGTCCTTGGAGGCAAAGAGGGGAATGTATGAGAGTATAGTTTTACCAACGCTCTTATATGGGTGTGAAGCGTGGGTGATGAATGTTGCAGCGAGGAGAAGGCTGGAGGCAGTGGAGATGTCATGTCTGAGGGCAATGTGTGGTGTGAATATAATGCAGAGAATTCGTAGTTTGGAAGTTAGGAGGAGGTGCGGGATTACCAAAACTGTTGTCCAGAGGGCTGAGGAAGGGTTGTTGAGGTGGTTCGGACATGTAGAGAGAATGGAGCGAAACAGAATGACTTCAAGAGTGTATCAGTCTGTAGTGGAAGGAAGGCGGGGTAGGGGTCGGCCTAGGAAGGGTTGGAGGGAGGGGGTAAAGGAGGTTTTGTGTGCGAGGGGCTTGGACTTCCAGCAGGCATGCGTGAGCGTGTTTGATAGGAGTGAATGGAGACAAATGGTTTTTAATACTTGACGTGCTGTTGGAGTGTGAGCAAAGTAACATTTATGAAGGGATTCAGGGAAACCGGCAGGCCGGACTTGAGTCCTGGAGATGGGAAGTACAATGCCTGCACTCTGAAGGAGGGGTGTTAATGTTGCAGTTTAAAAACTGTAGTGTAAAGCACCCTTCTGGCAAGACAGTGATGGAGTGAATGATGGTGAAAGTTTTTCTTTTTCGGGCCACCCTGCCTTGGTGGGAATCGGCCGGTGTGATAATAAATATAAAAAATAAATGGCCCCAAAGCACAAAAGTAGTGATGGGACAGTTCTTCAAAGCCTAATAGAAGCCATGAAATGCCTCCCATCATTGAAAAGTGTTAATTCTTGACTTATTGTGCATAATTAATCAGTTAAACTTCATCATAGGTAAGTTTGTAAATGAAAAATGACTTACATGTAGGGTTTGCTACTATCTGCAGTTTCGGGTATCCACGGTAGGTTTTGGTATAACCTGCGGATATGGGGGACTACTGTACCTTATTCTAGAGCAGATATTTTTACACTAAATATCTGTGTAATACTGTACAAATTAAATCTACATCAAGCAGAATAAATGTTGTAATAATGTCCTAATGTAGACAACGACATCAGAGGTGTTTCAGAGAATCATGGTGAGCTTAATCTCTGAACTTTGCTAAACATTGCCCTTAAGCACAATATATGTAACTAAAAGTAATGAAAACATTTTTCACTTAATTTTTTGAAGTTACTGCATTATTTTTTTCACATAAATTGTGTATTTTTTAAGGCCTTTTTTTGAGCAGAGTCAAGATGGTAAGTTGAGTCTTGCTCTCAGCAACGCCTCAAAGTCATAACATTAATGGTATACAGTGACATGTTGATGAATTTGACACATGTTCAACACCTGAAGATCTTTATTTTTGAAAAAAAAAAAGCCACTGGTTGGCAAAACATTTTCAGAATGAAGCAATGTAGGTGTTTACATGGTCTTTATTTAAAAAAAAAAAAAAACACTGGTTGGCAAAAGTTTTCAAGACAGACGTGTGCAGGTGTTGTACATGTGTCTAACTCAGCAACGTCTCAATAATATAAGTAATATAGTATAGAAGAGTGGTGCTTGATATACTGACGAATATCTTTTTTACCCCTCCTCTAAACCCCCCTTCAATGTACTAACACAATGACTCGCCCTTCTCTCTCGCTTCTGCTTTTGTTCTTGTATTTTTGTGCTTGTTGTTGTGTCCTTTATTTATTAATATTGAAAACTGAATGTTAAATTTTGAAAATTTTAATTAAAATCATTATATTTATTGACTGACACTGTCCATTAAGCTTTATTCTGGCATCATCCTAATTTCTTCACTCGTATTGTTCTAATATAATTTGTGTTTATAACCTGTTCTTTCACTTTGTTAATATTATAAACTTTTGTTTGGTAATGATTCCTTGGTAATTAATTTCTAATCAATCTTATGCAACATCTGTTTACGTTACACAAAAACATTCCTGCGTAATGTAACATTCACTCAAAATACGGACGATGTTAACTTGGTCTAAATACGTTTCTGTCTATATACTTTACTCTTTCATTTACTTTCGAATGAACAAATTATTCTATAAAATGATTGAACTTGTCAAATGTTTCTTGTGACACACTGCAAAAAATTCACCATAATCTGAAATTCACTGTATTCTGTTTCTAAATTCTCATTTTGCTAATTCCTCTTTTGTTAATTCTCATTTCCTTAATTCAATTTTTTAATTCAAATTTTTTATTCTCATTTTGCATAATCATCATTTTCTTCATATTTCTTAATTTATTCTAATCCTTATTTTTTAATCCACAATTTTTTTTTTTTTTTTTTTTCTTAATTCTTATTTTCACTCCACAACTTCTCACACATCTTTGAAATTTGGTTTTGGTTTGTTATCTTTTAACCAATATAATTATTTTTATGTAAATTATTTATAATATAACCTAATATGATTTTTTTCTGAATGCAATACTGTTGTTTTTGTGTTGATATCCCTTTTACATTGACTGAAAAAAACCGTAATACCTTTGCATTATAAACTTTTTTTGTTTTATGAAAATTTTGTGCATGATGTTCTAACATCTATAATAATATTTTTTTTCCCATACCACCATATTTGATACTATCCTCACTTCCACCACATCTACCCTACAACCCTCGGTAGATTCACAAACTCCTTTGTATGGTAACTATGCCTTCTCTCACACTAACACTGGCCGTCGACGCTCTAGCACCGTTCTTACAAGCCCCCGTTCCCATTTCTCCCAATCCTCTCCTACCATATTAGATGCAGGGCGAGGTACGCCAGAGGTCATTGTGCTAGATCCGGCCGGTCACAAGAACACGGTGCCCGTCAAGACTCGGCAGATCAGTGACGACGTCTACCGTTGTGAGTACGTAGCTTCAGGCATCGGTCTACATTCCATCAACATCTTTTTTGCTGGCCAGTCCATTACAGGAAGTCCATTTGGTGTCAAGGTGTCCCCAGGTAAGAATGTTGTTATTACATACTGTATTATTAGTTCTGTTATAATTTCTTCTTCTTCTTCTTCCTCTTCTTCTTCTTCTTCTTCTTCTTCTTCTTCTTCTTCTTCTTCTTCTTCTTCTTCTTCTTCTTCTTCTTCTCTTCTTCTTCTTCTTCTTCTTTTTTTCTTCTTCTTTTCTTCTTTTCTTCATCATCTTCTTCATCTTTCTTCTTCTTCTTCTTCTTCTTCTTCTTCTTCTTCTTCTTCTTCTTCTTCTTCTTCTTCTTCTTCTTCTTCTTCTTCTTCTTCTTCGTCTTCTTTTTTTCTTCTTCTTTTCTTCTTCTTTTCTTCATCATCTTCTTCATCTTCTTCTTCTTCTTCTTCTTCTTCTTCTTCTTCTTCTTCTTCTTCTCTTCTTCTTCTTCTTCTTCTTCTCTTCTTCTTATTATTATTATTATTATTATTTTCTTTTATTATTATTATTATCACACTGGCCGCCCACCAAGGCAGGGTGGCCCGAAAAAGAAAAACTTTCACCATCATTCACTCCATCACTGTCTTGCCAGAAGGGTGCTTTACACTACAGTTTTTAAACTGCAACATTAACACCCCTCCTTCAGAGTGCAGGCACTGTACTTCCCATCTCCAGGACTTAAGTCCGGCCTGCCGGTTTCCCTGAACCCCTTCATAAATGTTACTTTGCTCACACTCCAACAGCACGTCAAGTATTAAAAACCATTTGTCTCCATTCACATCCTATCAAACACGCTCACGCGTGCCTGCTGGAAGTCCAAGCCCCTCGCACACAAAACCTCCTTTACCCCTCCCTCCAACCTTTCCTAGTCCGACCCCTACCCCGCCTGCCTTCCACTACAGACTGATACACTCTTGAGTTATTCTGTTTCGCTCCATTCTCTCCACATGTCTGAACCACCTCAACAACCCTTTCCTCAGCCCTCTGGACAACAGTTTTGGTAATCCCGCACCTCCTCCTAACTTCCAAACTACGAATTCTCTGCATTATATTCACACCACACATTGCTCTCAGACATGACATCTCCACTGCCTCCAGCCTTCTCTCGCTGCAACATTCATCACCCATGCTTCACACCCATATAAGAGCGTTGGTAAAACTATACTCTCATACATTCCCCTCTTTGCCTCCAAGGACAAAGTTCTTTGTCTCCACAGACTCCTAAGTGCACCACTCACCCTTTTCCCCTCATCAATTCTATGATTCACCTCATCTTTCATAGACCCATCCGCTGACACGTCCACTCCCAAATATCTGAATACATTCACCTCCTCCATACTCTCTCCCTCCAATCTGATATCCAAACTTTCATCACCTAATCTTTTTGTTATCCTCATAACCTTACTCTTTCCTGTATTCACTTTCAATTTTCTTCTTTTGCACACCCTACCAAATTCATCCACCAATCTCTGCAACTTCTCTTCAGAATCTCTCAAGAGCACTGTCATCAGCAAAGAGCAACTGTGACAACTCCCACTTTATGTGTGATTCTTTATCTTTTAACTCCACGCCTCTTGCCAAGACCCTCGCATTTACTTCTCTTACAACCCCATCTATAAATATATTAAACAACCACGGTGACATCACTCATCCTTGTCTAAGGCCTACTTTTACTGGGAAATAATTTCCCTCTTTCCTACATACTCTAACTTGAGCCTCGCTATCCTCGTAAAAACTCTTCACTGCTTTCAGTAACCTACCTCCTACACCATACACCTGCAACATCTGCATCAGGGAAACCGGTTATTTTCTTATAGTCGGACTTGAGTCCTGGAAATGGGAAGTACAATGCCTGCACTTTAAAGGAGGGGTTTGGGATATTGGCAGTTTGCAGGGATATGTTGTGTATCTTTATACGTATATGCTTCTAAACTGTTGTATTCTGAGCACCTCTGCAAAAGCAGTGATAATGTGTGAGTGTGGTGAAAGTGTTGAATGATGATGAAAGTATTTTCTTTTTGGGGATTTTCTTTCTTTTTTTGGGTCACCCTGCCTCGGTGGGAGACGACCAACTTGTTGAAAAAAAAAAAAAAATATTAATTATAATATTCATGGGGAAGATTAAAGCCCATAAAGGTCATATAGTTTCTTAGGATTGGAAAGTAATCAGGTTTGATTTAAGGGGAGGGTGTCTCCATTTCCTTAGATCAAGGGCCCTTTACCGACATCAAGGTACTCATTAAAGGAACTTTTGACTCTTGTATAATTTTGTTGAATGATTTTTTTAATGAAACATATACTATAGCAGAAACTTAACTTTTTAAATTTTTCAACATGGCAGCTATTTTTTAATATGATGGCTAATGCTGACATGGATATCCTGGGGCTTTAGTACAGTCATACTCGGCCCTACGTCATGAATTGTTTCCATGAGCCGTGACATGACCCGATTTTTTATGTAAACCAGACATAATGTTAAAATTGCTTTAAAATGATAACAAACACTGTAAAAATAGTGTAAATAACTTGCAAAAGAATAATTTTAGTCATATTTTTTAAAGAATAATGGACAAAATTAAAAAATTATGATGTAGGTGACGTTGCTGACTGATGTAAAGTCGGACATAATGACGTTTCCTGAACTGAAATTTTCTCTTGAAAAGTGGCGTAAAGGTGAATTTGACATAGGCTGAAATGACATAAAGTGGAGTATGACTGTATATATATTGTTCTGAATAAATATCTTGATATTTTGATCAATTTTCAGCTTTTATCTAATTTCTTGTTTTGTTTTATTTTTTACCTTAAAGTGTGCTGGGCTACTAACTGTGTACATTGAAAAGAATACCATCTATAATTTTTAAAATGTATTTTTATCAATGTTTGGAATATCAGATAACATTAAGTGAATATTAAATTAGATTTGTATCTTTTTTATATTTTGATTTAAGCAGAAATTGATTTCAAATAGTCCTCCCTGTATTTACTCCATTGTGAAATTGTCTTCACTGTGACAGTGTGTGATGCCCGGAAGGTTCGAGCCTCAGGCCGAGGACTCCAGCCCAATGGTATTAGAGTTAAAGATTCTGCTGACTTCAAGGTTCATACTGAGGGAGCTGGTGAAGGCAATGTAGAAGTTAAAGTAATTGGACCAGGTAAGGTGAAAAACTTTTGTTGTGTAAATATTATCTCTTCAGAGAAATGGGTCATGTTTTATTATCCAGACTTTCTCGTTTTTTGCGTTAGTGTGGATTTGTGGTTTTAACATAAAAAATGTTAATAGAAATAAACCACACTTACTAGAACTGAAGAATACCAACAAAAAAATTAATATAACTAATATTGAGATGTTAATAAACTTAATGAGTCAATATTATTATTCTTCATTTTCTTAGTGCAGTAAGCCCTCAATATAACACACCTTGATATTCCAAACTTTTAAAATTCTATAGACAAAATCCATTGAATAAATGATACTTTTAACTTCTTTATTTTCAATGTTTATTGGATTTTTATACTAAAGTATATAGTTTATACACTAAAGTGTATAGAGCACTTTAGTGCATTTTCGTGACTATTTTTTAACATATTGATAAAATGAACACTCAGGCAATCCCCTTTTAGTTTGTTATATCGAGGATTTACTATACTGTACCGCATTTGTTAACTGTGAATGTTGTCTTTATTATTGCATTATTTTCTTTTTATTAATAACATATGTTGTATTATCTTGCAGGAGGGTCCCATGAAGTTGTGAAGGTTAAGCAGATAGATGCCTACACATTTGAGTATATTTACCATCCCAAGAAAGAGGGTCGCTACATTGTTATGGTTTCATATGGTGGGCAAGAAATACCCAAGAGCCCATTTGAGGTGAGAAGAAGCACCTTTATGTGGAAATAAGTACAAGAATTTTTTTTTTTTCAATGCACTGGCCATCTTGCACTGAGGCAAGGGGACCTAAAATGAAAACAAAAGTTTTTGTTTCTATATGTAGTAATAATATAGAACATTAAGGAACAACACCATGACTGGAAAAATACACAGTAACCTGCACATAGGAAAAAGAAACTTAATGACGATGTTTCAGCCTGACTTGGACCATTAACTAGTCACACAAGCACACGAAGGTAAAGGAGCCAATACAGTGGAACCTCGGCTTACAAATTTAATCCGTTCTGTGGACTTGTTCGTATCCTGATTTGTTCATATGCTGGGTCAATTTTCCTCTTTTAAATTAACTGAAATGAAATTAATTCGTTCCAGCTGAATTCCTGCTCTCAGGAGGCATGACAAAATAACCCTACGGCTTATTTATCAGTCACAATTCATCTAATATGACATAAAAAACAATAAAACTAACATAGAAACCTGATATACACTCTAGAATGAATAAAATATGTCATTATATGGACTGCGAGGGAGGAGGATTGTGGTTGAGAGAATGGTCGCTGTGTACAATTTTTGTGTTTATCTCGCTACACTACATACCTAGTGTATGCTTATCAATGATTTCTTGCTTTATTTCCATGCACATCATCCTCTTTTTCTTCTTGGCACTGTCCTTTCCACTTGCTTTCTTAGGACCCATGGTTACAAGAAAGAAATCTGAGGAATTAACTGCACAAAACGTAAGGAAATCATGAGAATTCCTTGTACCGTGAGGGTAGCTCCGTAAGCACTTGTGCATTGGTGAGCATTGTTTTGATTGACACTGCTATCTGGTGGTGGTGTTGTCAAACTAAATTATACGCAGTACGTACATAGTATTATTGTTATTATTATATTGTTATTATTTATTATACATTATTATTATGTATTATTATCATGAATATTAGTACATACATATTATTATAATAATAATTATTATCATTATTATTAATTTAGGGACCTGGAGCACAGATACAATTCCCTAGATCAAGAGCCCCTCACCATATATGTACTACTAATAATAATAATAATCATTATTATAACAATAATAATACAATATACTAATAATAATAACAGTAAGGAGAAACTTCAAAAGTCTGCCAGTAGTTGGCACCACCATCAGCAAAACATTGGTAACCACTACTAGTACACTTTTAACCTGTCTAGACTTAAGTAGTCTATTAGTACTATTAGGTTAAGTCTGCCTGAAATGCCTCAGCATGATAGTGGCTTTCTTTGCTCCAGTCATATTACGATATGTAAACAAACATTGTAACCTTTGCAAAGAAATAAATATTTTATTTATTTATTTATTTAAGGAATCTCCCTTGAGGGGGAAGTTCACATCCTGAAATTTCATTCGTATCCAGAAGCAAAAAATCGACTGAACAACAGTTCATATTCTGAAAAATTTGCATGGTGGGGCGTTCGTAAGCCGAGGTTCCACTGTATATATACAGTGGCACCTTGAGTTACAAGCTTAATTCATTCCAAAAGGCTGATCGAGTGCCGATACTGAACGAATTTGTTCCCATAAGGAATAATGAAAATTAGTTTAATCCATTTCAGACCCCCAAAAATACACTTACAAAAGCACTTACAAAAGTACACTTACATAATTGTTCAAGTTGAGAGCCGCTCGTAACTCAAGGTACCACTGTACTGACTCCCTTACTGCCATGTGTTAGTGTGACTAGTTAATGGTCCAAGTTGGGCAGAAATGTTGTCATAGTCTTTTTCTTATGTGCAGGTCATTTGTGTAATGTAGTAATAATATTGCTATAACATAGTAATAATATTACTACTTTTTTTTTTAAGCACATCGGTCGTCTCCCACCGAGGCAGGGTGACTCAAAAAGAAAGAAAATCCCCAAAAAGAAAATACTTTCATCATCATTCAATACTTTCATCTCACTCATACATAATCTCTGTCTTTGCAGAGGCACTCAGATACGACAGTTCAGAAGTCCTTCCAAACTGCCAATATCCTAAACCCCTCCTTTAAAGTGCAGGCATTGTACTTCTCATTTCCAGGACTCAAGTCCAGCTAACCAGTTTCCCTGAATTCCTTCACAAATATTACCCTGCTCACACTCCAACAGCTAGTCAGGTCACAAAAACCATTCGTCTCCATTTACTCCTATCTAACACGCTCATGCACGCTTGCTGGAAGTCCAAGCCCCTCGCCCACAAAACCTCCTTTACCCCCTCCCTCCAACCTTTTCGAGAATGATTCCTACCCTGCATTCCTTTCCCTACAGATTTATACGGTCTCCAAGTTATTCTACTTTGTTCCATTCTCTCTAAATGACCAAACCACCTCAACAGCCCCTCTTGAGCCCTCTGACTAATACTTTTAGTAACTCCACGTCTCCTAATTTCTACATTATGAATTTTCTGCATAATATTTACACCACACATTGCCCTTAGACAGGACATCTCCACTGCCTCCAGCCGCCTCCTCGCTGCAGCATTTGCAACCCAAGCTTCACACCCATGTAAGAGTGTTGGTGCCACTTTACTCTCGTACATTCCCTTCTTTGCCTCTATGGGTAACATTTTTTTTGTCTCCACAGATACCTCAATGCACCACTCATCTTTTTTCCTTCATCAATTCTTTGGTTACCCTCATCCTTCATAAACCCATCCGTTGACAAGTCGGCTCACAAATATCTGAAAACATTCACTTCTTCCATACTCCCTATTTCTAATCACCAATTTGAGTTTGTCACCTTTTAATATTTGGCATGGAATGGTGTGTTATAGTTATTTTTGAGCTCCTTTGTTGAATCCACTTTCATTTATTTGTTATTTAATTCATTTCTAAGATCCGTGTGACTTGTTTAGTAGTTTAATTTCCAACACTGCCCTCTTGTTACATATCTAGTAAGAAACCTGAAACCTGTCATTGCTTACTGTGCCTCACAGTGTTTTTCATGTTTGAATCTGTCCCCTCTTTTTATCATTCCTTAAGTGATGGAAGACCTAGCTCTCTCTCTCTTTCCAGTTAAATACAGTAAGTTGTTTTCCCTCAGTTGAGGCACCTGTCTTGATGAATCCCTTTACACTTTTTTGTGGAGTTTCACTGTGCTCACTTATTTGTGGTTGCAGGGGTCAAGTCACAGCTCCTGTTATTTACTAAGTGAGGGTTTCACACAGAGATTCCACATGGGTTGCAGTTCTAGTTGAAAGTTGTTGTCATTTTCTCAGCAAACACAGCATATCATTTTATTTCTGACAAAAAAATATAGCCTCTCCTCACTTAGCGACGTACTTGTTTATCGATGACTTAGACTTACGATGGGCTCTCTGACCAGTATGCATACCTAAACAATGTACATATATTAGAGCTGATTTCCTCTATTCTTACAATATACGGTACACTACTGTATAAACATTTAAAAATATACCAGAAATATTATAAATGGTGCAAAGATGACATTAAGCAATATCAATGATGGTTGACACAAACCCACTACCATTATAGTATGCTCCTCACTTAGAGATGAATTCATTTACCGACGTGGTTTTAGGAACGGAACTCCGGCGTTAAGTGAGGAGTGGCTGTATCTTATTCTTTCATTGTCAGCATTTGTATACATCAATCTTTTTGATTCTCCCTTTTCTTTAGTTTTTCTTCCACTTTGTGGTAGATCATTTGCTGTCAGAGACATTACATATTTAATTTTCTCTGTGCTGGAAGTGAAAATCAAGACCATCAGCCTTGCTGATCTGTTGTTTTTTCTTCTCTTCATGGAAGCAACTTGCTCCTTCATGTCTCTGAGCATTTGTGGTCTCTTTTTATCTCTATAGTATATAATTATTATATTCATGAGGATGCACTTAACTGGTAGGGGTCATACACTGCCTGGGGAATAGGATGTAATCATCTTTGATCCAAGAAAGATGTTGGTAGCTCCAGTGCCAGATCAACCAGGCTGTGATGGATATGTGGGCAGCAGGACACCAGTAGATGAGCCTGGCCCATGACCGAGCTCCGGGAGTAGAAAAACTCTCGGAACTCGTCATAGGTATATCAAAGGGCCCTTTCCTGGCATCAAGGCATTCACCTTGCAAGAGCTTTGGTTGAAATTCCCACTATCACTAGTTAAGGTTTAACTTTGCATCCTCTGCAATTTTCTCAATGATATTTATTGTTGCTGTGGATTCCTGTCATGTTCATGTTTGGGTCTTCTATTTATAGATTTGTTTGAATACACTGTATGTAAGTTATGTATGTCTTTTTATTGTTTTTAACATGTTGACCATCTCCCACTGAGGTAGGGGGACCTGAAAAAGAAACACTTTCACTGTCATTCACACTATCACTATCTTGCCAGAGGCTCACAGATGCATCAGTATTATTATTGCATATTATTCTTTCAGGTGAATATTGGACCGTACAAAGAGACCCGAATTAGAGCTTATGGTCCTGGGCTGAAGGGTGGTGTAGTGGGGTACCCTGCACTCTTCACTGTGGAGACTAATGGAGAAGCAGGTGGTCTTGGTGAGTGACTTTTTTGAACAAAATAATAAGTTATAATAGAGACAAATTTAAGGATGAATGTACGTGGTAAAAGGATAATTGAATATCATAATAATTGTTGATATACATATCTCATTTATTCTTTTAGTAGTACTTATAATAGTAGTAGTTGTAGTGCTGTTAATAATAATAATATGTAGTAATAGTGGTATTATTATTATTATTAATTTTATTTATAAAGAAGCACTCAACATGTTGGGTTTATACAACACCTAGAAAATATAGGTAATCAGTTTTGATTTGAGGAAGGAGAGGGTTTCTCGTAATTTAGATCAAAAGCTCTTCATTGGCATCAAGGCTCCTCTTTGAAGTACAGTAAAGTAACATGGGCGGGCCTCACTTTACAGCGCTTCACTTTCACCATTTCGCTAATACGATTGTTGTCAATTATAACCATTCTTCATTTATTCAGACTTCCTACAGTAAATATATTCACCGCTCACTATAAGCTAAGGATGAAAATATTTTAAGGTAAGTAATGTGTGTACTGTGTGTGCATTTTTTAGGCCTAGCTCTGTTGCTCACTTAATATATCATAGTGTAAAAATGTTATCAGGCTTTTATATGTATTTGAAAGTGGGAAAAGGTTATGATTCATTTTACAGTAGTAATCCAGAACCTAACTTACTGTATTAGTGGAGCCCTCCTCTGTGAAAATGTATAGTGATTGAGACACCACAGTGTACCTGACAGTAACTCAATATTTTTTTTCTTGTGATGAATGGTTTGAAAAGCCGACAAGTTGAAGATTGAGACACTTATGCAGCATCAATCTACAAGATTGATGGACTGAACACATCGACTCCAGGCTGAGGGACTGATTACCTCATACTCCTCCTCTCCTTACGCCTTCCTCTTTGTATTGGACTGATGAAGCCACTGTGTGGCGAAACGTTTCCTGAATAAAGATTCCCATATGCTGCATAAGTGTCTCAATCTTCAATTTTTTTTTCTTTTTGGCCACACTACAAATCTTCCACTGAGATAGGCTGACCGAAAAAAAAGAAACTCATTCGCAGTTCAGATGATCCTCAGAACTGCAACATCCTCACCTCTGCTGTAGAGTGTAGTCACTGTTCTACCGACGTCCAGGACTCAAGTCTGGATAACTGGTTTCCCTGAATCCTTTCATAGATGAAAATAAATGGTATAAAATACCAACACAATGGAAACATAAACACATATGCAGTTTAATGTGATCCTTTATTGACAATGTTTCGCCCACACAGTGGGCTTTTTCAAGTCACAAACAGATCTACCTGGGGCGGAAGGTATGCGAGTATTTATAGTCAGGTTCAGAATGTTGAGGTCAGGTAGATCTGTTTGTGACTTGAAAAAGCCCACTGTGTGGGTGAAACATTGTCAATAAAGGATCACATTAAACTGCATATGTGTTTATGTTTCCTTTCATAGATGTTACCTTGTTCACATTCCATCAGCATTTCAAGCTATAAAAACTACTTGTCTCCATTCCAATCTAGCTCGCTCACAGAAGCTTCTTTGACATTCAAGCCTCTAGCACTTTCTTGGATGACCTCTACCCCTCTCCATATTCATACACCTTTTTAGTCATGCTGTAGTGGTCCTGCCTCTCTAAAAACTCAAACCACCTCAACAGCCCATCCTCATCCCTCTTAGTTATACTTTCAGTAACCCCCAAACTACTTACAAATTTCTGCACGCTGAATTCTCTGCATAAATTTCACACTGCAATGTTTAAAATACATACCTCACATCTGTATAAAGAATACATTCACTTCCTCCTTCCAGTCTGATATCCAGTCTTTTATTTCCTAGATATTTTGTTACTTTTATCACTTTACTCTTCTATATTCATGTTTAGTTTTTTATATATAGTTTTACATATATGTACTGTGTACATTGTACTATATTATTTGAAAGTTAAGACACATGTGCAACATCTGGATATCTTTATTGTAGATGTTTCGCCATCCAGTGGCTTTATCAATACAGATTCTAGGACATAATAGGAAGACAGTAGAACTACATACAAAAGATGAGGTAATCAGTCCCTCAGCCTTGGAGTTAGTGTTCACAGCATCATGGTGGAGGAGATGTTGCACATGTGTCTTAACTTTCATATTGTCGGTATTTTATACCTTTCTTGCACAACTATATTATTTATACAACAGCAAGTCTAAATAACAACATAGAATCATATTTCTGCACAAAATGTGAATATAGATTTATTTTTTGTTTCCAGGTTTCAGTATTGAAGGTCCATCGCAGGCAAAGATTGAATGCAATGACAATGGTGATGGATCTGCTGATGTACGTTACTACCCAACAGCTCCCGGGGAGTATGCACTGCACATTCTCTGTAGCAATGAGGACATCCCAGGCTCTCCATATATTGCACAAATTCTTCCCCAAACTGATTACAACCCTGAATTGGTATGAGATTTTGGTGGTTGATCTTGTGATTTAAATTATATATATATATATATATATATATATATATATATATATATATATATATATATAATATATATATATATATATATATATATATATATATATATATATATATATATATATATATATATATATATATATATCCTAGGTAGTAGGTTGGTAGACAGCAACCGCCCAGGGAGGTACTACCGTCCTGCCAAGTGAGTGTAAAACGAAAGCCTGTAATTGTTTTACATGATGGTAGGATTGCTGGTGTCCTTTTTTCTGTCTCATGAACATGCAAGTTTTCAGGTACGTCTTGCTACTTCTACTTACACTTAGGTCCCACTACACATACATGTACAAGCACATATATACACACCCCTCTGGGTTTTCTTCTATTTTCTTTCTAGTTCTTATTCTTGTTTATTTCCTCTTATCTCCATGGGGAAGTGGAACAGAATTCTTCCTCCGTAAGCCATGCGTGTTGTAAGAGGCAACTAAAATGCCGGGAGCAAGGGGCTAGTAACCTCTTCTCCTGTATATATTACTAAATGTAAAAGGAGAAACTTTCGTTTTTCCTTTTGGGCCACCCCGCCTCGGTGGGATACGGCCGGTGTGTTGAAAGAAAGAAGATATATATATATATATATATATATATATATATATATATATATATATATATATATATATATATATATATATAATAATAAGCAAGTACGATATACTAGGTATAGTTTTGCAAAATATATTCTGAAGTTTGGTTGATAAGGAGATACCCAGCATAATGCAGGAACAAATCATATTTATATATGGAAGTTTCAATTCATTGCACATAAATTATGGCCAAAATAGTGTATTAATCTAAAAATAATGGGGAATTATTGATTCAAAGTGGTTATGAAAGATGAGTATGGGTGTTAAGAAAGGTTGAAAGTTAAATAAGTTTAGGAAGTGAAAGTGTCTCAGAATATGAAGGGGGGGATACCAGTAGATTGGTGGTTAATATGAAGTAAAGTGGACTAAAGTAAAAAGATATGAGCTGAGTGTTCAAGAAGTGTTATGAGAGCCAGATTAAGCAGATAAAATAAGGAAAGAACGTGAGGCTGCAAAAGAGAGCCGTGAGAGGAGCATTGAACGCAAAAATTTAATGAAATAGAAAAAATTGGTAGATATAAACAGTTAGAATGCCAAGGGAAAAATAGAAGTATTTGTTAAAAGAAGGTGTTAGAAGGGAAATGAGTTGGGTAGATGGCGAGAATATTTTGAGAACTTTTAAATGTTAAGAAGAAAGGAGGGTAATTCAGCAGCTGGCAGGGAGTATACCATCTTTAGGATGAAAAAGCAGAATTAAGTTGTGGGGAGGTCATGAGAATTACGTTAAAATGAAGAGGGGTAAAGCACTGGAACTGATGGATCATGACAGAAATGTTAAAAGACAGGGGGGATATAGGTTTGGAGTGGTTGGTACTTTTGTTTAATAAATGTATGAAAGAGGGGAAGGTACCTAGGGATTGCAGAGAGCATGTATAGTTCCCTTTAATAAGGGAAAGGGGACAAAAGGACTGTAAAAATTTATAGAGGAATAAGCTTACTGAGTATACCAGAAAAGTGTACGGTAGGGTTATAATTGAAAGAATTAGAGGTAAGACAGAATGTAGGATTGCGATGAGCAAGGAGGTTTTAGAGTGGGTAGGGATGTGTAGATCAGTGTTTTACATTGAAGCATATATGTGAACATTATTAGATAAAGATAGGGAAGTTTTATTGCATTTATGGATTTAGAAAAGGCATAGATAGAGTGATAGAGAGCAATGTGGCAGATTGATGCAAGTATATGGAATAGTGTAAGTTATTAAATGCTGTAAAGAGTTTTATGAGGATAGTGAGGCTCAGGTTAGGGTGTGTAGAAAGAGAGGGAGACTACTTCCCGGTAAAAGTAGGTCTTAGACAGGGATGTGTAATGTCACCATGGTTGTTTAATATATTATAGATGGGGTTGTAAAGGAAGTAAATGCTAGGGTGTTTGGGAGAGGGGTGGGATTAAATTATGGGGAATCAAATTCAAAATGGAATTGACACAGTTACTTTTTGCTGAGATACGTGCTTATGGAGATCTAAAGAAAAATTGCAAAGGTTAGTGGATGAGTTTGGAATGTGTGTAAAGGTAGAAAGTTGAAAGTGAACATAGAAAAGAGTAAGGTGATGAGGGTGTCAAATGATTTAGATAAAGAAAAATTGGATATCAATTGGGAGGAGGAGTATGGAAGAAGTGAATGTTTTCAGATCTTGGGAGTTGACGTGTCGCGGATGGATTTATGAAGGATGAGTTAACATAGAATTGATGAGGGAAAAAAGGTGAGTGGTGCGTTGAGTATATGTGGAGTCAAAAAACGGTTATCTATGGAGGCAAAGAAGGAATGTATGAAAGTATATAGAACCAACACTCTTATATGGGTGTAAGCTTGGGTTGGTAAATGCAGCAGCGAGGAGACGGTTGAGGCAGCGGAGATGTCCTGTTTAAGGGCAATGTGTGGTGTAATATTATGCAGAAAATTCGGAGTGTGGAAATAGGAGAAGGTTGAGTTAATAAAAGTATTAGTCAGAGGCAGAAGAGGGGTTGTTGAGTGGTTTGGTCATTTAGAGAGAATGGATCACAGTAAAATGACATGGAAAGCATATAAATCTTAGGGAAGGAAGGCGGGTAGGGGTCGTCCTCGAAGGTTGGAGAGAGGGGTAAAGGAGTTTTGTGGTAAGGGGCTTGGACTTCCAGCAAGCGTGCGTGAGCGTGTATAGATAGAGTGAATGGAGACGAATGTACTTGGGACCTGACATCTGTTGGAGTGTGAGCAGGTAATATTTAGTGAAGGGATTCAGAAACCGTTATTTTCATATAGTCGACTTGAGTCCTGGAAATGGGAAGTACAATGCCTGCACTTAAAGAGGTTTGGGATATTGGCAGTTTTGGAGGGATATGTTTGGTATCTTTATATGTTTATGCTTCAGACTGTTGTATTCTGAGCACCTCTGCAAAAACAGTGATAATGTGCGAGTGTGGTGAAAGTGTTGAATGAGATGAAAGTATATATTCTAATTGTAAGGGATTTCTTCTTTCCTTTTGGGTCACCCGCCTCGGTGGGATACGGCCGATTGTTGAAAAAAAAAAAAAAAAAAATATATATATAATATATATATATATATATATATATAATATATATAATAAAGCAAGTGACGGATAACTAGCGTATAAGTTTTTGGCAAAATATATTCTGAAGTTTGGTTGATAAGGAAGATACCCAGCATAATGCAGGCAACAAATCATATTTATCTATACTGGAATTTCAAACTTACATTGCACATAAATTTATGGCCAAAATATGTTATTAATCTATAAAATCAAATGGGATACCTTACTTGACTAGTACAAAGTTTGTGGCATTATGATTGAACTTGTAGAAAAATATAGAAAACAACATAAGTGTTAGGGGCCCAAGACTGTACAACTGCCTCCCAGAATATGTAAGGGGGGATTACCAGTAGACTTTTGGCTGTCTTCAAGAAGGTGCTGGACAGGCACCTAAAGTCAGTAACTGATCAGCCGGGCTGTGGTTCATACGTCAGTTTATGTGCGGCCAGCATTAACAGCCTGATTGATTAGGCCCTGATTCACCATGAGGCCTGGTCACAGACCGTGTCGAGGGAGCATTGAACCCCAAAACTCTCTCCAGGTATTGGAATATTGATCCCAGAGGGTTAGTAGCTAAACAGTGTAGAATGTAAATTAAATAATCACAGAGTACTATTATTTCTGAGATTGAAAAGCTTGCTTCAAGACAAAGTACAATAGACTCTCATAATTTGCTCAGGTTAGGTTTCTGGAAATCACTGCCACTTACGAAACCGCAGCTTATGGTGTAAGTAATGTATGGGAAAAATAGGATTGCATTCTTGACACCAAAACAGCCAAACATTTTTATTTTCTTAATTCAAAAATAATAGTTTTTCTTGTTGATGTATCACTGTACAATATCTCTGTAAACATGTGGCTAACAGTGCTTCTTCTTCTTCTTCTTCTTCTTAATAATAATAATAATAATAATAATATTAATAATAATGTTGAAGGATAAGCTATGGCAGGAAAAGAGGGACTACAAATGTATAAATTCAAGGATTATGTGGAGTAAAATAAAGATTGGATGTGAAAAGTGGGTTATAGTAAGCGTGTATGCACCTGGAGAAGAGAGAAGTGTAGAGGAGAGAGAGAGATTCTGGGAAATGTTGAGTGAATGCTTGGGGAGTTTTGAATCAAGTGTGAGAGTAATGGTGGTTGGGGATTTCAATGCTAAAGTGGGTAAAAATGTTATGGAGGGAGTAGTAGGTAAATTTGGGGTGCCAGGGGTAAATGTAAATGGGGAGCCTTTAATTGAGCTATGTGTAGAAAGAAATTTGGTAATAAGTAATGCATATTTTATGAAAAAGAGGATAAATAAATATACAAGGTATGATGTAGCACGTAATGAAAGTAGTTTGTTAGATTATGTATTGGTGGATAAAAGGTTGATGGGTAGGCTCCAGGATGTACGTGTTTGTAGAGGGGCAACTGATATATCGGATCATTATTTAGTTGTAGCTACAGTTAGAGTAAGAGGTAGAAGGGAAAAGAGGAAGGTGGCAACAACAAGTAAGAGGGAGGTGAAAGTGTATAAACTAAGGGAGGAGGAAGTTCGGGCGAGATATAAGCGAGTATTGGCAGAAAGGTGGGCTAGTGCAAAGATGAGTAGTGGGGGGGTTGAAGAGGGTTGGAATAGTTTTAAAAATGCAGTATTAGAATGTGGGGCAGAAGTTTGTGGTTATAGGAGGGTGGGGGCAGGAGGAAAGAGGAGTGATTGGTGGAATGATGAAGTAAAGGGTGTGATAAAAGAGAAAAAGGTAGCTTACGAGAGGTTTTTACAAAGCAGAAGTGTTATAAGAAGAGCAGAGTATATGGAGAGTAAAAGAAA